CCCCCATTGAAGACATAGAATTTCTTGAAATAAAACTATTTATTATTGTTAATTGTTATTATTGTTATTATTATTATTATTTCTATTCCAAAGTCATATATTTACTTAAAGCTTGTAATCAAACTCTTGTTATCAAAAGATTAACTTTAATAAAAATTAATCCCTTAAACTCTCTAAATTGTTTAAATGCGAACGTTCTTCAGGGCTCTACCCCTCCCCTCCCACTCGTTCGCAAAAGTTCGCATTGGCCTACCCCCTCCCCTCCCCCAAGTGCGAATGTAATATGTGAACAACGCCTAATATATTTATAAGCAGATTAGTTAATCAATCATTGCAAACATTCAACGGGAAAAATAATATAAATGATATGTAATGTAATACAGGTATAAGCAATGCATAACACTTACGTTCCCATTTGGTCCCCATATTGTTATCTGATTTTTTGCTTGATATTCGTTATACAATCTTTCCTTTAAGCAAAATGTGAAATATTTATCAATTATGACACCATTTATTGACTTTATATTATAGATATTTAATAAAAAATGTTTATTCAAACACCTGATCGCTAACAGCCAGTGCTCGGGCGCTATTAATCCATTTTCCTAATAAATAATACTCATTTGTAGACAATATATCGTTCATATCATCCATTAGTGTTAAGATAACAGTCGACAAGTTCTTCAATTCGGTTTCATTTTTTGCTTCATAAGAAAGAACTAATTTGGCGTAAATCACATCAAAAGCCAATTGCAATGATTGTCGAGTTATGTCAACCAAATCATACCTTAACATCAAATAAATAATAAATATATATTCAAAATGTAATACAAATTTAGCTCAAATTTAATCATAATATAATTACTGAAAGGTTGAGCTATTTTTGAGCTGAGAAACAGTCGATGCATTGATAAATAATTTATAAGCGTTAAACACATCCGAAGGTTTGTACCACAAGACTGAATGTGATTTAAGCGATGGTCTCTTATTGATGGTATACTCGCCGTGATTGTGCACTTTTATACCATCTGTGAATACACTATTCTGTTGCCATTTAATATAATTTACAACATTATTATTTACACAAATGATAATCAATTATTTGAATTATAATCATAATATATAAATTGAGGTATTTAGTCATTTAGACATAGATTACAACACAATATTTTAACTCAAAAAGTACAAATTATGTAAAAAGGGTATAGAAATGGACGAACTTGTAATAGATTCCAGGCTTTAGTGATATCTTCATTAATATAGTTGTAACGCCGGCGGACGTATTGAGTGACCCATTGGTTGAGGTCAACCGGCGCTGAATACCACGTGCTTTCGGTCATAAAGTCATAGATTATATCATTTTGTTCGATGCCTTCTGGTGTGAGACCAATGCCTAACATATTCTCATATTTAGCTCTCGCTTCAAACACATCCTATTTATTAAATTTACACATATATTAAAAATTAGATTTAAAATTGTAAATAATAAAGTCTTAAATGTTTGTGAAATATATTATACTACAATATTAATAACAAATTATTAATAATATACCATGCACATTTAATTTGCATAATTTGTTGATAACATTAAGCAATAAATACATTATATGAGTTGTTCTAATTACACTAATTTCCGCGGTATGTACGGCTCTTGCGGGGGCTTCAACACATTGTATGTGGTATATTTACCAACAGGCATTATTGGTAGGTTTACTGACTTAACACGATTCAATTCAGACATTAAGTCCAAAATCAATAGTTTTCCCTGAATTAACATCAAAATATATACACATTTTTATTAATACACCATATAAATGGTTGTCCGTAATAACCATCCAAATGACTGAATTGTGGATTCAATTCAGACATTAAGTCCAAAATCAATAGTTTTCCCTGAATTAACATCAAAATATATACACATTTTTATTATTATTGTTTAATAACCTTAGGCACAGATGTCAATAAAGCTTTGGCCTGTTCTTTATGCCAATAACCGGGATCATTAACAAATAGCCACCCTTGCATCACCCTATAAATTATTATAATGTATAAGATGTACAGTACAATAATGATAAATAATTTATGTTCGTAAAAATCAAAGTAATATAAATTATGTATCAAAATATTATGAAATGTAAAAAATAACTATACTTACAATAACTATTCTTAAAAATTAATTAATTTAATTATTTACCAAACAGATTGAGGATCGGATTTAATCAAACTCTGATAAACAGCATTTCCACAATCGGTAAGATATGATGTTTGACTAAAATAATCACAAGTTTAGTTATAAAAATTATATTATTAATATATAAAATAATTAATAAATATATACTTGGTTTTTGGTGTCATCTCATTAAAAAGATCAGTGTTATAGAAGTGATCGGTTCCGTACATCGATGTGTACTTTATATTCATTGCAAATACTGTTTAATTATGTTTTCAAAATACAATAATTATTATTAAACATATACTTCACTAATAAATGCGGATCCGATTTGAACAAAGTGTGGATCTTCTGGTTCCAGAAAATATGTGCTATTATTTAACAGAGAAATACAATTCTAAACAATAGTAAGCAATAGATGTTAAATTGGAGTCAATACACACCAACAAAATGTTTGGTTAAATTTTCCCCAATCGCTAAGTCTAGACACTTGAGCTTTGGGCCAAATGCGTGTAATATTGCGGGGCACGTGTCCGGCAAATGCTGGCAACACTGGAATCATACCCAACGATCTCATACGCGCCAATATTTGTGATTGTAATATTGCCTGCACTTTGTGCCAATTGTCACTTAAAGGACCCGACCAGCCCTGAACATTACCCATACGGTTCCTTCATTTTTCATATTTTAAAATCATTTATATTTTCTAATTAAACAAAATGTTGATATTTGTGAAAATATTAATTGACATACCATGCCAGAAATGCAGGTCCCGTAAAGTACTCATCTATTTCGGGTATTGTTAGACCAAATGTTTGAAATACCTTATTTTAAAAATATTATTAACTTGGTCACTTATTCATCAATTACCGGGAATATACAGTAACTAAAATTATTTTTGGAAACACTTTAGGATTTTTCACATCGTAATTCACGTCGAGTTATCATGATTAAATTTGTTTTGTTAAACGACGTGAAACATCCTAAAGTGTTTCCAGAAATAATTTTATGCGCTGTATATAATAATATATATTTATAAGGGCGTGATAAAATTGATAGAAACCTTTCGCCAAACGTATTCCTGGCCATTAAAAGCGAGGGGAAAATTGATACCTTTCATTGCCATCCAATCGATTTCTCGTTCCCATCGCTTAAAATCCCACCAAACCATTGAATAGCTAACTGTACACACATTCTGATAGTAACGCAGTCTTAATTAAAAGCGAGGGGAAAATTGATACCTTTCATTGCCATCCAATCGATTTCTCGTTCCCATCGCTTAAAATCCCACCAAACCATTGAATAGCTAACTGTACACACATTCTGATAGTAACGCAGTCTTCAAAACAAAACAATTAAAAAAATTAGTTGAAATAAATTTGCGATAATTTTACGCACTTGTCTTGAATGACTACAGTTAGAGGTGCACTGATAACAGGGAGGGGACCATCAGGTATATTAAGCTGATCGCCAGACCAAGAGATGTGACAATTGAGATACTTTTTAAGATAGTAATTGAAGCCATTGGCAGCGCTCACACCACTCGTTGCAGTGATTCGGATGCTATTGTTTGAAACGCTCTCTAACTTTTGGTTTTAATTTCAATAAACATTTAATAAACAATTTAAATTTTTGAAACAACTATTAATTGCTATATAATATTAAATTTACAATAAACTTATCCTTATTGTCGGTTTGCAATAGTTTTGTATCGATTATGACTTGAAATTCATGCGCTCTTTTGGGTATAATTCTGGCGATTAGTTCATCAGCTGCTGTTTGTTGAGCTGTTGTCTCTGTTTTGGACGATATTTGCCATAAATCCTGAATCTCTGAAATGTGTTGTAAATTATTTGATTGCATAACAAAACAAGAATGAAAGTAAGTATACCTTTGGTAACAGCAGTCGTGGGTTTGCATATGAAACCAATTATTGTTAGACACAAAATTAATAAAGTTTTCATTTTGGTAATAATGGTATAGATATTACATTTAATAAACAATATTGAAATTAAACAATAAATGTAGACATAAGTGATGTCTGCAAACTACTGTCTAAATATACAGTA